CAGTGATGATATTTTGAAACAAGCACTATCAAGGTATGGGAAGTTGGTTTCACCGATTAAGAAGATCACGATCGGGTGCGAGTCTCCTTTATTGAAACACATAGTTTCATTCAGGAGATTTGCGTTCATGATCAGCAAAGATGACGCGGAATTGGACTTGGCTCTAAATTTTCGTGTGGATGATTTTGAATATGTTGTGTTTGTTACCACTGATAAAATGAAGTGTTTTGGATGTGGTAAATCGGGCCATTTAATACGTTCATGTCCTGATAAGAGTGCAGCTGGAGGTAGTGCTTCAACTAAGGATAAGCCTGCGTCTGAACCGGCTGAGGTCGGTCTGGCTGAAGCAGTGCCGACTGTGGATATACCTGTTGGGGAAGGAGCATCTGTTGAGGGGCCTGTGGAAGCCGGATCGACCTCGGTGGAATCATTAAATGAAGGTAGGGACACTTCTTCAGAAACTGTTGCTGCAAAAACTGTTTTGCTGAACAGTGATGTTGAAAACATGGGCGATGTGTCTGATATAGAAACAGAGAGTAGGCTGTTCAAAGTGCCAACAAAACGGAAACATGTGGAAAAGATCAGTCACATAAAGTGTTTTTAAAAAGGTGAAGTGGTTGAGGGTGATGACTGGATCAGAAAGAGTCAGAAAGTGGAAGTGAAATGTCTGACTCGAGTACAGTGTTGTCACAGAGTGAAGCTATAAGCAGAAGTTATGACGTTGATGACATAAAACGTTTCCTTAATACCACAAAAAACAAACGGGGTGTGGTTGTAAAGGATTATTTTCCTGACTTAAATCAGTTCTATAACAAAGCTAAAGGTTTATTAGTAGATGGGTGCCTTTCGAACAGGGAGGTGTATCGTTTGAAAAAGATTGTGAGGAAAGTTGGCACGGAGTTAAATGAAAATGAAGACTAAGAACTTTAGTTATTTGGTTTCACTTGTGTTTTTTTGTTTGTTTATTTATTTAAGTATGGCTGAAGTGCGGATTGCCTCCTTGAATGTCAATGGTGCTAGAGATTATAGAAAAAGAGCTGAGCTGTATGAAATTATCAAGCAGAAAAAATTAGATGTCACTTTGATTCAGGAAACACATAGTGACGTGAATAATGTGAATGATTGGATGAAGGAATGGGAAGGCTTATCTTTTTTCAGCCACAATACCACTTTAAGTGGAGGAGTAGCTATATTATTTGCAAAAACATTTAATCCAGCTTCATATCAAGTTAAAGAATTTTTGAAAGGTCGACTTTTAAAAGTGAGAGCACAAGTTGAGAATTTTAATTTTGTTTTTATTTGTGTGTATGTCCCCAACTCAACAATTGATAGGATGTTGTTTTTAGATACATTATGTTGTGTTTTACAAGATGTTTCTAATGATGATTATTTATTTCTGGGGGGAGATTTTAATTTTACAGTGAGTAATTGTGACAGAAATCATATTGAACCCCATATGCCGTCAAGAAAGCGTCTCTTTCAAATAATAAATAAGCATGAATTAAGTGACGTGTGGAGGTTTTATCATGAGGATATAAGGCAATATACTTGGGCACATACACGTGGTACTGTTTTATCTTTGGCAAGATTGGACAGATTTTATGTGTTTAAACATCATACTGGTATTTTTAAAAATTGTTGTATTTTTCCTGTTGGTCTTTCAGATCATTGTATGGTGCAATGTTCTTTTATTTTGAATTCTGTCAAGCCAAAAAGTGCGTACTGGCATTTTAATCTAACGTTGCTAGATAATAAGGATTTTATACACACGTTTAAGTTGTTTTGGGCCGATTACAGAACAACAGAAGATTCTTTTCAATCAGTTCAGAAATGGTGGGATTTTGGTAAAGTGCAAATTAAACAGTATTGTCAGCAGTATGCTCATAACAGCACCAAAGTTTTAAATCAGTCCATGAAAGACTTAGAGAATGACATAATTAAGATAAAGGAATTGGCGGATTTAACGAAACAAAAAAGTTATCTGAAGATTCTTTCTAAGAAAAGAAATCAATAGGCAGAATTATTAGGGGTTAAAACACAGGGGGCTTTGGTCCGGTCAAGATTTATAAGTCTTGATCAGATGGATGCACCTTCAAAGTATTTTTTTAACCTTGAAAGGAAAAATGAGCAAAAAAGAATCATTCACGCTTTGCGATCAGAAGAAGGAATTCTGTTGCCCAATCCTGTAGGGATCAGAAGTAGGGCAATTGGTTTTTATGAGACACTGTACAGAAGTGAAGTAGAATCAGACAATATCAGTAAAAGTGCTTTTTTTGAGGATTTACCAAAGGTGTCTGATGAAGGTAATGCAGAGATTTCAGGTGCGCTCAGCCTGGGAGAACTGCATAAGGCCGTTCAGAGCATGGAATCCGGAAGGGTGCCTGGAGTTGATGGCATACCCATAGACTTTTACAAATGTTTTTGGGAAGTTTTAGGAGAGGATCTCTTAGAAGTCCTCAATGGTAGTTTGGACGAAGGTCTTCTACCTTTGAGTTGCCGGAGAGCAATCCTGACCCTTCTTCCCAAGAAAGGAGATCTCACTGAGATCAAAAACTGGAGACCTGTTTCACTTCTGTGTAGTGACTATAAACTTCTTTCAAAGATTTTAGCCAACAGATTAACAAAAGTTATGAGTAAGGTGATCCATCCGGACCAAACTTAATGTGTTCCCAAAAGGTCAATTTTTGATAATATTTCCCTTATTAGGGATATCTATTATGTCTCTAAGTTGTCAAATAGTGACATTGGCTTGATTTCGCTTGACCAAGAGAAAGCGTTTGATAGGGTTGAACATGCATATTTATGGGAAACATTAAAAGCATTTGGTTTTAGTAAGGGTTTTATTGATAAAATCAAAGTTTTGTATAGTGATGTTGAGAGCATACTCAAAATTAATGGTGGCTTGTGCACTCCTTTTAAAGTTTTTAGAGGGGTGAGGCAGGGATGCCCGCTCTCTGGAATGCTACAGTATATTCACTAGCAATAGAACCTCTGCTGCAGCAATTGAGGAAGAATGTACAAGGTTTTAAATTGCCCAATGTTGAAAGTATAACAGTCTCTGCGTACGCTGATGATGTAGTAGTGTTTGTTAGCCAACAGAGTGATGTAAAGGTTTTAATGCGTGTACTTGATGATTTTAAAAAAACTGTCCTCTGCTAAAATTAACTTGGAAAAGAGTGAAGCAATTTTAATAGGGGATTGGAAAAATGTTCCGTTTGCCCTTCCTCCTGGCTTGGTTTGGAAGAGAGGAGGTTTTAAATATTTAGAGGTTTTTTTAGGAGATGAAGTGATTGTACAAAAAAATTGGGAAGGAACTCTTGAAAAAGTTAAAGGTAGACTTGAAAAATGGAAATGGTTAATTCCAAATATGTCATATAGAGGTCGAGCTTTAGTTATAAATAATTTAGTTGCTTCCTCTTTATGGCATAAGTTAACCTGTATTGATCCTCCTTTGCGTCTCTTAGCAGAGATTCAAGCAATTTTAGTTGATTTTTTCTGGGATAAGTTACATTGGGTTCCTCAGAGCATATTGTTTTTACCTAAAGAAGAAGGAGGGCAAGGATTGGTTCATATTCAAAGTAGAGCAGCAGCTTTTCGTTTACAGTTTTTACAAAGACTTCTTGATAATTCTGTAACTTCAAGCTGGAAAGCAGTTGCATGTAAAATATTACAAAATGTTGGTAATTTGAAAATGGACAGGAATCTTTTTTTCATGGACTTGTCAAAGGTGAATCTTAATGGGATGCCTATTTTTTATCGTAATGTTTTTAAAGTGTGGAAAATGTTCAGAGTGCAAAGAGAAGGACATTTTGAATCTCTTTACTGGCTCCTTAAAGAACCGTTAATATATGGAGCACGTTTCGATTTAAAACACAATGACTGTTCAATTCCTGGACTTACAGAAACACTTGTGGCATCCAAAATTTGTACTATGGGGAGTCTAGTACACTTGACAGGACCAGACTTTGGGAATATGGAAGGAGTTGCTTTGAGTTTGAAAATTAAGTCCTTACGATCTGTTTTTCATTTATTACAAAAATGGAAACAAAAACTCACTTTTGATGAACTGAAACTGTTATCAGAATACTATGAACACAAAATTGTTCCTAATGAAAAGGATGTATTATCTGAGTTTTTTATTTTTCCTATGTTAGATGATGTTTCAGGAATTTTTTTAAGCTCTGGAAAATCTCTATGTTTAAATTTTTTTTCAAGTACTGGTAAATCTTTTTATAAAGGTTGTGTTCTTGCTTTTAATAAAAAAGCGCTTAATGAGAGGGTTGATACACCATGGCGTAATGTTCTACAACTTGATGATGATAATAAACCAGAGTGGAGATCATTGTATAAGCCACCATTAGGTAAAAGAGTTGGGGACATTCAATGGAGACTTTTACATGGTGCGATGGCAGTTAATGCTTTTATTTCAGTTTTAAATCCTGATGTTTCTGCAGAATGCCCTTTTTGTTCTAGTAGAGAGACTGTTTTTCATGCTTATATGGATTGTGATAGAAGGGGGTGCTGATCAAGACATTAATATTATGTTTTTAGCCACTGTCAAATCCAGAATACTTATTGATTTTCGTTTTTATACTTCCATGAATGATGTTATTACATTTGAAGAGAAATGGTGCAAGAATGAGGCTTTGTGCTCTGTTATTGATGGACAAATATTTTTTTCTCATCTACTAATGTAGAAAAAGCTTTGTGTGTGGTATAAAAGGTAAATGGAAAATTAGTAAATGGTGAAACTTGTTTTGTGAAAAATTGTAAATAAAGTATTTTTTCAAAATTTAAATTCTCTCTCTCTCTCTCTCTCTCTCTCTCTCTCTCTCTCTCTCTCTCTCTGCTAATGTAGGTTAATCTACTGTTATATGAGAGATGAAGGTTGTTCTGATGTGACTTCAGCTCTGAAATCAAACCCGTCACACCTGAGAGATCTGGACCTGAGCGAGAATAAACTAGGAGACTCTGGAGTGAAAAACCTCAGTGATCTACTGATGAACCCACAATTCAAGCTGGAGAAACTACAGTTAGTGTCATTATACTGTACAGCAATTACAGCAGTGGCGGGCCGTGCATTTCACACCTAGGCCGTCTGTCCTACCTGAATTAATAACTTTTAATAGTGTATCAGCGCAAAGACTCTCTATAATTGTTTTTATTTTGCACCGGCAGTTATTGGGTTATGTGGTGAGTTCGGGAGAGGCCGGTAGAGAGAAACGAGCGCGTGAGTTCGGCTGCTGCGTTTGTAAAGTGGTTCTTGCGTTTCGAATCCGATTATAAGTTCAGAAACGGAGCCTCACTTATCTTGTCGTTCAAGGGTTACAATAGTCCCTTTTCAGACGTTACAATAGTATGAATGTTTGAAAAAAATTAAGTTTCGATCATAAATTTATACAAAAAAATTAAGAAGAAAATCATATTCACCACAGGGGAAAAAAGCATATACTCACCAAAACTACAGATTATTTTTTTTACACAAAATCCATCCTTATTTCTTTCCTCAAGAAGACTTCAATTACTGTCGTACAGGTTCTAACTGCGTTTCAGTTCCAATAATGTCGTGTCTGTCTCGTCATATTTCTAGCATAAATTTTTGTTTTCTTTACGGCTGAGAGTGCCTGTTCGACAGAAACACAGTCACCGCAAAACATGACGATGTGTACAGCTGCCCCATGCTCTCACACAGAGTTTTGACCGAAATCAACGAGATCAGCGGGACTTTTGCCTTCAAAATCATTCGTTTCATAACTTACATTAATCTGTTCTGTTTTTACCCGGAGAGATCGAATAGAGTCCCGTTACTCTGCGTTTAGCTCAGGCTGAATAAGGGATTTTTTTCTGCTGGGGGTCGAGGAGGGAAAGAAACATTAATTTGTGGGTTGAAATCTATTACATCTACAGGAATATATTTTAGTTTATACAGTTCGCTACAGATGCGGATACTACCAGTAATAGTAAGCGCATCCAATCAAAGAATGAGAAAATACAGATGTTATTATACACCTGCTAGATGGCCCCGCTGCAGTCAAAGCGAAATCTGATTGGCTGATTAAATCTGACGGATTATCTGATTGGTTAAAGAAACAGTTTCATTGCCTTTCATTTTAAGCTACAGGCGCCTGCACAGTCGATTCTGAAGGCCTCCAGGCAGATTTATTTGACCCGGCAACACATGATGGCTGAAATATGATTGGATACAAGCTCTAACATAAAAACACAATACTGGAAGCAGCGCAACCAAGAGAAAAGCTATGAAATTAAGAGAATGAACTATTGGGAATAATTTAATATTCATGCAAAAAATATATTAAAGTGCAAGTCAGTGATTCTGATAGTGTTCAGAGAAGGCCTTGCTGGCCCTGACGGCCCACCACTGAATTACAGTGTGACTGAAGTTTATTTATTTGAAGACAGCAGGGCTTATGTTTCATTGGTTACAGCAGTGCACTTTCTGGGTTTTGTGTGCTTTTTTTCTAGTTAGCTTATACAGTGTATTGTAATTGATTTCACTGCTTTAAAATTGAATCAATATTTTTGAGTGTGAACATTTTTCACCAAAAAAAATGTTGTAAATCATATAAAACTTTTTAGAGTGTAGATAGTAATTGTTTAATTCCCAGCATCTGATACAATGCACTGATTGTGTATACACAGAAATCTGCCTTTTCAACAGAGAATAAAGAAGAGAGACGTCAAATAAATAGTTAGAAATGAAAGAGAAGAAACAGTGTCTTCCAGCGCACAGAACTAGTGTGACTGGGTTTTAAAACAGACTATTGGAAACTAAATGCTGCTGTAGCTCTTCAATAAGATGATCATCATAGATGTGAACTATTGTTATTTCTCTGTCTTCAGTCTGTTAGGGTGCAGTATTACAAAGAAACAGAGTCTCATCCTGACTTCAGCTCTGAAATCAAACCCGTCACACCTGAGAGAGCTGGACCTGAGCAGGAATAATCTAGGAGACTCTGGAGTGAAAAACCTCAGTGATCTACTGATGAACCCACAATTCAAGCTGGAGAAACTACAGTTAGTGTCATTATACTGTACAGCAATTACAGTGTGACTGAAGTTTATTTATTTGAAGACAGCAGGGCTTATGTTTCATTGGTTATAGCAGTGCACTTTCTGGGTTTATTAAACTAAAACACTTTATTCTCAATATCTGACAGTGAGTCTGAGTTCACATTATATCTGTGTAAAATTCTTCACATTCATGATTTGTTTGTAAGATAATCTCTCCTCCTCTGTTTGTGTTTCTCTAGTCTATATCACTGTGGCATTACAGATGTTTCTTCTTTAACTCAGTCTTTGACGAACTCAAAAGCTCTGCAGTTTTTAAAAGAGCTTGATCTGAGACTCAATAAGATCGGAGACTCAAAGCAGCGGCTCAGAGACGAGCTACGAGACTCAAACTGTGACCTGAGGTGAGGAAACATCACTGAGATATTAAAGACATCTTCATTTATCTCTGATATGTGAACAAACCTTTCAAACATTCGTGAAAGGAAATTATCATTAAGATTGGTTGCAACAAAGGGTTTGTGTGAGAACATAATGTGAAGTTATTGAAATGTTGAACACAAAGGAGGAAAGAGAAGAAAAGCTCACTGTCACAGCTTTATACATCAACACCTGCTTTATGAACTGTGTCAGTAGAAGTGAATCATTTGAGTGTGAAACAGACTTGGTCAGATTGTAGGAAACGCTGCACTCCTGCTAAAATCAGTGCAGTTCCAGCTTCAGCTCACAGCGTCCAGCTCACATGAGCAATGTCTCTGTCTCTAGTGTGTTTTTACTGTGACAAGCAACACGTCACACTACTCGACACTTACTTTACTCTCAGTTATTTACTAAGAGCCTACAAACATGTTTAAACTAGAGGACAAACGGCTTTAACTAAAGGTTTGTGTTTAACTCAAAATAACATTAGTATTTGCTCGCTGTGGTTTATTCCATACGCCGTACACTCATTAGTTTCTCCTTTACAGAGACTCAATAGGAGTCGCACCGACACACAAAGACACACATATGAACATGATTCAGGCTTTACATCTATTAAATAAGAAAATACAAATATCTATGCAAGATCATGTAAAGTCAGTAATTAATCTGATTACAGGAATTCAATTTAACTTACTTTTACTAAAGAAAAACAGCACTTTGTTCCTCTGAACACTGATTGTTTTCTCTTCTGTTCCACTTTACAGAGTAGATGAAGATCGATCATCAAACATCTCTGATGAAGATCATTCACCAAACTCTAATGAATTCTTTATATCATAGTTTGAAATCATCATGAGAGGATCAGAAACCATCAGGTGATCCACAGAAGAGTCTCACTGCTGTCTATGAGGAGAAATACATGTGTAAATGTGTTTCATACAGGTGGAAGAGACTCAGACTTCACTATTAAATAAAGCAGCGTGTGTGTTAGCATGCGTATTAGAAACATGTGATATTGAATAATTAATGTTGGTTTATTATTCAGCCAAATGATGGTTTAGTTGTAATTAAAGGTGGAACAGAGGAAGAAGCTCAGATGAGTGTCAGCAGAAATCTTCACTATCAGGCCTGCAAATATAATAATGTTTAGACTAAACTCATCCAGAATTATTCAGATATTTCTAATCATGAACGTGATTGTCAAGTATAGCACATAAATGTGTCAAAAGATATAGATTACATGTAACTTTTAAACATTTACAGTATCTCTCTCTATAACATTTTATACACAGAATATGTTTATTGTTATTGATTTATATTTTTTTTAATCACATATGGACCTTTTTAGGCAAAGATGCGGCACTCATGGCAATGTGTAATCTGAATGTGGGCCTAAAGTGTCTCATATGATAAATAATGAATATGGCCCAAATATCACAAACCAAATGAGGGCCACCTATGGCAAAAATGTGGCACAATTGACAATGACTAATCTGGGTGTAAACCAAATATAACCCACATATGTTGCAGCAAATGTGACCCAGTTATCTTAAAACAAATCTGGGCCAGTTTTGTCAAAGATGAGGGACAGTAATCACTGTGAATCTGAATGTGAACCCATGGGCGTCAGTGTGGTCTGAAATGTGCTGGGACAGAGACACGTTCATTTCTCGTCTCTTTCGCGCAGGTCATGTTTTGAAAGACAATGTCATGTAGCTTACTAATGTAAATAAATAAAAATATATAGACCATTTCACAAGACTTGGTCCAGAAGCACTTCCTGTTTCAGTTTGTAACTGTTTTCTTTATTTCACATGTAAAGAAAACATCTTAAAGCTGTTTGTTTAACTTTTTGATTCAGTTTTAAATGTTCTGTTGGTTGTATTTTATCCCAGCTTTTTTGTAGTGGTAAAAAAACTGAAACAGGAAGTGCTTCTGGACCAGTCTTGTTTACATCTTGTGAAATGGTCTATACAAAAATGTGATGATGTCCGACTCGTTTTATGAAGAAAAAAGCCTTAGGTTTTTTAAAAAAAATTAGACATATATGACCCACTATTCTGCTTCAAGTAGCCTACCATGTTAACAATATAACATGATGTGGTTTAATGTACCTAAACAATGATTACCAAATTTCTCTCTCATGCTCCACACAACCACTGAAAACAGTCAAAAAATCGAACACAAAGTCCAATTATTATGGCCGTTATCTGACATTAAGTGTTTCTGCTTCACATTTTCAGCAGGGCAGTGGAGCGGCTGTCGACTTCTCACGGTTCTCATGGGCTTTATATATAAGTCCTAACGTGAAAAATCTTTACGTGGTTTACCTAAACAACGATCACCAAAAGATTACAGTTGTTGAAGTGTTATGAAAAGAGAAGCGTGTAGCCAGCGCAGCAGCAGAACGGATAAATTGATTCATTTGGTTCATTCAACGAACGTAATGAACGAATTGATTCGGAAAAAGATTTGTTCATTTTGATGAACGAGTTCAAACAGGAGACTCACGAACACGCATCACAGAACAGAGCAAGACGAGCGTTTGAGCTTATAAAACTTAAACTTTGTTATTTTTTTAATTGACCGATCGTTTCGCTTGATAAGATCATTATTCATCGTCTGGTGTCGTTTAAAGCCCTTTAAACAGTTTGCACTGAAACTGTCTTTTGGACCTTGAACCGTTTGGTTACCAGTAAAGTCCATTATATGGAGAAAATCCTGGAATATTTTCATCAAAAATCTTAATTTCTTTTCGACTGAAGAAAGAAAGACATGGACATCTTGGATGACATGGGGGTGAGCAAATTAATAGCAAAAGTTTTTTAAAAGTGAACTACTCCTTTAAGGATGTAGCTGGAATTTCACATTGGTTTTGTCCAAACTGCACAACAAGACCTGACAAAAAAAAAAAAAAAAAAAAACAAGACTAAAAAAGACTAAGCTTTCCTTTATACCACAAACGAACAATGATCTACACATCAAACAGAACAAGAAAAACTTGAGGAAACAAACCGGAAGTATCAATGAAGACACTGCAAGAAAGATAGTGATGAACATGTAAAAAAAAGGACCACTTGCAATTTACAATTAAATTGACAAGAGAAGAGTGGGCAAAGATAAAACCCAGTGTAAGACAGGGCCAGACATCTAAACCACGGATGGACATATATGTTATAAAAAAAAATGGATGAAAAAATGCATTGTGTCCTCTCATTTAACTACAACAGAGTAAAGCTACAAAAATCAAGAAAAAAGCATTCTTTATTTTGGAATTGAAAGGCCCAGTGCAAATTTAATGGTTGTGTATTTTTCAAAATTTGTATACGTGAGAAACCAGCAAAAGATGTGCCCATAGTACCAGTTACTGTGAGAGTGTCTGGAAGAATTGATTACTCTGAGGCAACATTTTTTAGGAAGTGGACAAATAATATGGAGAGAGAAGACCTCGAAAACATGCTTGGGGAATTCATGCCTGTGCATGTACATACTAAACAACTTGCTGCTGCAAAAGAGGAAAAACTTGTAATGGGCAATTCAAATCAGGTCTCCCCCCATTACCGTCATACAGAAGATTTCTAGCCCAAGAAATTTGGAAAATCTAATGGATATCAATCCATTTTTGGATTGTCTAAAAATACAAGATGCACAGGACTTAAACCAACAGTTTACACCCCTGAAGCACCAATATCTCCAGTGTGTGGCTATTCCACCATTTACACTACACATGTACACTACTACACAGCTTCAGCTCTTACGAGATTTGCAAAAGGACACAAACCTTTTTTTGTATCTAGATGCAACAGGACGTGTTGTTACAAAACCACAAAGATGCAAAAGTGTATTGTATTATGAACTTTGCTGGCCAGTTCAGTCCACTTCAACAACAATAGTTGCTGTATCTGAGATGCTCTCATCAGATCAGAGCACACCGACAATTCAGAACTGGTTGAACTGCCTGTCCCGTGATTTTATGTACATGTACAAACAAAGCCTCCAACCACAAAAAGTGGAAACTGATTTTAGTTGGGCAATCATTCATGCAACCCTACATACGTTCTATCAGTGTAATATACACAAGTATCTGCAACAGTGTCTTGAGGAATGTCTGGAAAGAAAAAAATGTGCATTCACTGTTGTGCACGTATGTGCTGTGCACATGATAAAATTGCTTTGAAAGGCTAAAATTGTAAAGGCTAAGTGCACCAAAGAAATAAAGAACTTGTTTCTGCATTCATTTGCACTAATACAGAATGCCACCACACTGGCTGAGATCAAATCTTTGTTGCAAGACATTTGCATAGTTTTTCCCCAAAGAGATGCTTTGTCCATCCTTGATTGTCTGAAGACACTGCAGATTAAAATACACAATCAGCCTGTCTTTGCTGATGTTGATGTCAATGAAACACCCCTGGAAGGATTAGTTTAATAAAACAACTCCAAAAACAATTGTTCATGACTCCCCATTTGCAAAACTCTTTGAAAATATACTAGTAGATGCACAAAACGAACAAAGCAGTGATACAGCTCAAGCCAATCCTGTCCATGCATGATACAAATTCTCAAGCCGTACTTGGCAACAGTGTGACTATGGACAGGCATAATGTTGAAACATCTGGGAAAAACTCGAGACACAAATGCACAGGTTGAGAACTGGTTTCGAACAACAAAGTGCATCGTGCTGAAGAACAAACTCCACAGAAGACCAGGAATTTATTTGTGGTAGAATGCGTGGTGTCACCGTTTATGCAATTCAGCAAAACACAGTAAATGAGAAAGAAACAAATGACAGCAAAATCAAACTACCTCTTCCCAGCAAACAAGCTTCTTTGGGGCCCGAATGGGGCCCTTGCGGGCAGCCCACTGTGGGCCCAGATACCGGCGTGAAATGCGGGGCACGTGTGGGCCCCACACTTCGGGACCCAGGTGGGGCCCCAGTGGGACAGCCCACAAGTGTGGGCTGACTGTGGGCAGGCCCACAGTAAGTAGAGTGGACCCCATTGGGGCCAGTTGTGGGCCCACGGTAAACCCTTATAGGGGCCGATGTGGGGCCATTGCGGGCAGCCCACTGTGGGCCCAGATACCGGCGTGAAATGCGGGGCACGTGTGGGCCCCACACTTCGGGACCCAGGTGGGGCCCCAGTGGGACAGCCCAAAAGTGTGGGCTGACTATGGGCAGGCCCACGGTAAGTAGAGTGGGTCCCCATTGGGGCCAGTTGTGGGCCCACAGTGGGCTGCCTGCAATGGCCCCAAATGGGCCCCTATAAGGGTTTGCTGTGGGCCCACAACTGGCTCCAATCGGGGCCCACTCTACTTACCGTGGGCCAGCCCAAAGTGTGGGCTGACTTTGGGCTGGCCCACACAAATTATAGCAGGCTGGATGTGGGCACACTGTGTGTGCAGTTGCAAAGTTTGAGCACACAGAGTAGGTACACCCATATTACTATATGCAGTACAATTGCACTTGTTAGCAGCAATAAATCGAGGGTCATGTTTTTTTCCCCAAATAATTTATTTATATTTAATAATAATTATAATTAATGATAATACAGTTTAAAACGGCAATACAGAAAACAGGGGATTGAAAATTAAAAATCAATCCCCTCAGGGGAAACAGTAGGTATTTCTGCAGTTCTGGCCCTTCCTTGCCGTCCCCATCCCTGTCCCAGGGATTACGGAGCCATGTCTTCATAGAGGCTTCCACATCACATGCAGTGGCTTGACTGCTTTTTGTCACAGCATCTAAGTGAGAAAGGATCAATTGAAATACAAATGTTAAAAACAAAATAAGGGTTGTACTGTTGAGCCATTTCAACCTAAGAAAGTTTTCAACCTGCACTTTGAATGAGGAAACGTCTTCTGATTGTTCCAGGTGCTATTTATAAATGCTCAACTAAGAGAATGACTGAATAGGTCAATGAGAGAGCTGCGGTTTATAATAACGTTCAGTTGTAAGTCATTTTGGTTGGTTAATGATGAACTAAGCTTTTACAAAACATTCATAAATGATTAGCAATTGATATACTAACATTTTATGTATGTTTTGTTAATTCTGTTACAAGTCATTTACAAGTGATTAGTAAATGATTAACTTATTTTTTATGAAACATGATTATGCATTTCATAAATGTTTAAGTGATGTTAATTATTGTATGTTTTGTAGATTCAGTTATAAATAATTTACAATTGTTTAGTTAATGATTAACTAATCATTTAGAAAACATTAACATGCGTTTAATAAATGTTCAATAAAGGTTTTTATTTTCTCCCTACTTATTAAAATTTAAATTTAAAATTACAAACAACCACCAGCCTGAAAAACATGTTGTATGAAGACTGTTTAAAATACCCCTCCTAATCCTCACAAAATTTGCAAGACAGAACTGATAACACCTGGGCTTATCGATACTGCGGTCTTCCTTAAAAAAAGCTTGTAATTATTTTTTTTGTACTCGTAATGATTTGTCATTACAAGTGCACAGCTATGTGAGTGGTGTTATTAAGAGTGACCACGGTTAATAGATATGAAAGATATTAATAAAAATGATGTTAATTCAGCCAGCGCACATACCTCTATTTGCTTCCTGTTTTCGGGCGAAGCCCACAGTAGTCGATTGTCGAGTTCACGCACGCGATCATAAGTGAATATCATCTTAAACCTCTGTGTGTTCAACATCTGATTCGGATGAACTATCCATTTGAGCTGATATTCTCAGAACACCACACAGTGGTAGGTTTGAGACGATATAAATGAACTCACGTGTGAGATCGACAATCGACTACTGTGGGCATCGACAGAAAACAGGAAGCAAATAGAGGTATGTGCGCTGGCTGAATTAACATCATTTTTATTAATATCTTTCATATCTACTGCAGTCAGATTGACCGTGGTCACTCTTAATAACACCACGCACATGGCTGTACACTCGTAATGACAAATCAAGGATGTTAAGAGGCTAAAAGCAGGTTTAGACCATGCCCCATTGAAGTCAGCAGGGTGCAAATTTTAAAAAGATGATAACACAGTGTAGGCAACACCGATTTTTGTCTGTACTGACAGCACTCCAAATGTACAAAAAAAATAGCTCAATGTTAAAATTGACCGGAGTTTTCCTTTAATTTGGCCCCAGGGCCCGTTTAATGTTTAATACCGGGTTTTGGTTACTATACCAACGTATGGGTGAGTTCTTATGGATGAAGGCCTGTTGTGTTCGGTCTCTTGGTTTGTGGTAGTGGCAGCTATTGTGAAACTCACCTTTGTCATGTACTGGGTGTGGATGGCATCAAGATCTGGTCCTGAAGAATCACAGGGTCAAATGATATCTCATCTGGTAACAAGAGCATAGTAACTTTAGAAACTCCAATGATATCTTTACCCCCTGATATTGCATTGTGGATTTAAATTCAAACATTTAAAGGCTAAGAATATGAGCCATGAGTAAACTGGCCAGATATCTGTGAAAAATAACTTGCGTGCCTAAAGTTGTCGACCCCCTGAATTCAGCATTAAAAAGTTAAAAGAACTTTAGTATTTATCATTTAAAAAATTACATGAAAATAAATAAATACCTTAGCGCTGGACAGTATGGTGTCTCATTGGCCAACATAATTAAAAACACACCTAGAGAATATACCAATGACCATGATATCCTGTTATCATAATAGTTTAATTATTATAACTTATGACCATTATAACATTATATTATTTTGCCAGCTATTATTTAGCCTACAGGCTTCTCAAGGACAATATCACTGAAAAAAAAACTGAGGTTAATGAGTGTGAGACTTCATTAAAAAGCATAAATCCTACAGACCCCAAACTTTTGAACAGTATGATTGAAGTTTTGCTTACTAGTCGAGTTCATAGCCGTGGAGGTTGTCTTGGGACAGGGCTGTAGCAGGACATCATGATGATTTTCTAGACTAGAAAATAACATGCAATGTGTCACAGAGCCAACAATGTTACATAGGATTTGCAATAGAACAAAGGGTTTATTACAAGGAATCAAGCTAGAGATGCAATGCAGAAAAGAGAAAAAGAATATAAAATCTTAACGTAATATATTGTGCAAGAAATGCATATGAAATTATTATCATGAAACAATAATTCCTCCTTTGTTGTGGAGGTTTTTTTCTGTCCCTTCTGAAATCACTTTTATTATCAATCTTTGTAAGTGACGTCACTGATCAACAGTACGTTACAGTGTGAATATCTTTCAGGCTAGCTAGCAATTAGCTAATTTCCAATAACCCATTGACAAATTACCAGCAAAACAAAAACTGTAATCAACACAAAGATGTGGTTAAAACCCCAAACTTATGTAAAACAAGAGCTAACGTTAACTTAACTTAACGTTTAACGTTACCTATTCTGAAAACAGTTGAGATGCTAACGGACTTTTTCGAAGACTCAAAACCTTTTCTACAAAGTAAATATTCAACAGAAGCGTATCAATTATACGTAAGAAAGGTGTCAGGAACGTTTGTATGTATTATTTGTGTGATTTTGTTAACCAAACTTACCTGAAAGCAGTGGAAAAACAGAGAGACGCTATTTTTTGCTGTTTGTCAGTTGAAGAGGTTTCCTCGTTTCCATGGTTTCCATCTGCTCGCGTGCGCTCCTGTCTTTGAATCGGACAACTTTGAATGCGACTCGCACGCGCACGCGCGTTGAAATCATATCAATTCAAAAGGCACGCAGCATTTAAACATCTAGAATTATAACATGTAACAGTTTAAAATATCATTCATTTTATATCATGAATTTAAAAATCATTATGTAGTTCTATGACCAATGTAATATTATTTTTTTCACTAGAATATGAAAGCACTAAAATGCTTTATATAAATGAAAGTTGGTAATGAAATTACGTCCAGTGACGTCGCAGTTTCGTTTGTGTCTGATTGGGCTCAGTCGTTACATCAGTGATGTAGGCCCATTTATTAGTATCAATAATATATGTTATATATCAATAGTATAAATAATATAATATTATGATAAATATCCATCACTGATGAATACCAAAACATATCTGTAAACCATTGTATTGTTTTTATTGTGACAAATAAGTTAATTTTATTTAATAAATATGGTAACACTTTCTGTGCAGTCCATACTTATAATGAATTATAGCACCATTTCTACTTATTTATGAGCAATATTACAATTCTATAAATATATTTATAAAGACTCATTAAGACCTACCGCATTACAATATATAGTTACATCTATATTTTTTTATAATTCCTTATAAGTCAAAAATTTGTTTTTAAATGCACATGCTCATAATCCATTATATGCAGTTTTAGTTAATTATGGACTGACATTTCACAGGATCGTTAAATAGTTTGATTAAGCTTCTAATATTAAACCTTCTAATGTTAAAACATTTGACTGTTAAACAACTTAACTTTGCATGGGCTAACTGCCTGGGGCCCCATGTGGGTTTTCTGTGGGCAAACCCACAGTGGGTTGCCAACAGTAAACCCTCATGGGGGCCCCATAGTGAAAAACAGCTGTGGGCCCCATATGGGCTAACCCACTGGGGGCCTGTGTGGGTTTTCTGTGGGCAAACCCACAGTGGGTTGCCCACAGTAAACCCTCATGGGGGCCCAAATGGGCAAATCTGCTATGGGCCCCGCATGGGCTAACCCACTGCGAGCCCGTGTGGGTTTTCTGTGGGCAAACCCACAGTGGGTTGCCCACAGTAAACCCTCATGGGGGCCCAAATGGGCAAAACTGCTATGGGCCCCGCATGGGCTAACCCACTGCGAGCCCGTGTGGGTTTTCTGTGGGCAAACCCACAGTGGGTTGCCCACAGTAAACCCTCATGGGGGCCCAAATGGGCAAATCTGCTATGGGCCCCACATGGGCTAACCCACTGCGAGCCCGTGTGGGTTTTCTGTGGGCAAACCCACAGTGGGTTGCCCACAGTAAACCCTCATGGGGGCCCAAATGGGCATATCTGCTATGGGCCCCGCATGGGCTAACCCACTGCGAGCCCGTGTGGGTTTTCTGTGGGCAAACCCACAGTGGGTTGCCCACAGTAAACCCTCATGGGGGCCCAAATGGGCAAATCTGCTATGGGCCCCGCATGGGCTAACCCACTGGGGGCCCTTGTGGGTTTTCTGTGGGCAAACCCACAATGGGTTGCCCACAGTAAACCCTCATGGGGGCCCAAATGGGCAAAACTGCTATGGGCCCCACATGGGCTAACCCACTAGGGGCCCTTGAGGGGTTTCTGTGGGAAAGCCCACTGTGGGCTTGCCCTCAGCAAGCCCACATGGGGCCCCAAAGGGTTTGCCCTTGCCCACACTGTCCCACAGAAAACCCACACTTACCCACAGTGGGCCCGCACTGGCATGTTTGCTGGGTTAGTCAAGAGGAGAAATGGCAGAAAGACAGACACCAACAAAATATGACATGCATGGAAAGCATCTACACTTCCTCTCCCTGGTGCGGGAAGGGCCAAATAGGAAAAAAAAAAAAAAAAACTATAGAATTGGCTAACACCTGCACAGTTGATAACCTGCTGTACTTCATTAGCAATGAAGATCAGACCTTCACTCTTAGGTGAAATTGAGAGTAAGCAGGTCCATGACAAATGCTTCAAGATATTATTGAAGGTCTATCAGCATTTCATGCTTCAACAGTGGGAAATATAGCTTGGCTTTGAGAAACATCAAAATTTTTCCATGGAAATGTTCCCATCTTGACTACGTACATCAGACCAAAAGACAATATGTAATGGGCATGATTGTCCTAACCCAACAAGCACCCAGATGATACTGTTGTTGCTGTCCTGTGAGTACTGTGAAGTGTACATTTATAATGAATTGTAAGAGCAGTCTACAGCACTGTATTGACAGTTGTCATTTAACAATTTCTTTTGCCGTTACAGGTGCAATGACTTCTCTACATTACAACAGTCATTACAAAACTGGTCTTTGCCAAGTCACAGTTTTCCATGCACAGAATCAAGGTAACACAAAAGTAAAAATTTGTACAATAACTATATTAAATTAACAATTTGTTATTGTTTACTAAAATGTAAGTGTAATGTAAACCGTTCATGTGAGATATTAAAGTGGTTAAAATAATGTCTGAAACAAATGTACATGTTTTCAACAAACCAAAAATGTGTTTTCAAAGGCAAGAGCTGGGGTCTTATTTATAAAGCGTGCGTACGCACTAAACAGGTCTGGACACGTACGTACGCCAGTTTCCACGTAAAGCTAGTGATCTATAAAAAACTTGACGGGAGAATGTGCGCACCTTTAAGCAAACTTTGAGCCGATTACATGAATGTGTATTATATTATCATCTTGCTAAATCTAGTAAAGCTAATCGCTAATTAACGATCATTCTAGGTAAACTTGCAAACTCACCTGGTTTACACTATTTTTAAACGAAATGCCAAATATATTTTTTGATTTAGATAGTTTCACTCCTTATTTAGTGTGTATTGAGCAGTTTCTACCTTTGCTCTAGCTAGCCTCAAAGCACTTGAAGAGTAACTGCTTCTTCATCATGTACAACCTCCTACACAACTTTCACCTAACGTTAGTATGCATGGAAGGTGGCAACTCTTAAGCTAACTAGTTAGACAGTGATTGATATACGGTTTGAAAGTGTGACCTAGTTGTGTTTAAAATGGTCTTTGTAATATGGTTGTTGCACTACACGGTTAGCTTGCAAACTCAGCTACACAGGGCTCCAGATATGTTTACCATCTAGCCGAGGTCTAGAGCTGACAAGGTAAATTGCAGGTATAGGACTAACTCTTACATTAGCAAACCACAAATATGCGTGTGCCTGTACTGGTAATTATTTTTCTTTTAAATCAGAGCATGGAAAACCGACCACAGGTAAGCCATTGAAAATGAATGATTTAGTATTTCACTATAACTTAATGTAAACTTACATTCAAGTACAAGATAGTTGTTTTAAATATGTTTGTACATATAAACTAAAATCCCTAATTCAATAAAATCAATAATTCCTCAAGAACAGCGACAGGGCAGCCAGAATTAAATGGCCAATTCATCCAGGCCGCAGGAAGTCTGACAGACACAGACCTCCCATCAGACATCTTGTTGGTTCTAGAACCAATTAGTTAATTTACCACCATATATTTATTTAGAACACTAATTGTTATTATTAGAAAACTAAATCTATGGTTTTGAATTAACTTATTGGTTATAGTACCATTGAGAAACCAGTCTAGGTGACATAATCTGGACGGGTTTTGGCGTGGGAATTTTTTTTCTTTCTAGGCAATGGTTACACTGACGACGATTATACAAAACCTACACAAAACAATTTAAACGTTTAATCCAAATAGCCTCATGCCAAAATTATCCTATAACCACCCCCAGGAGTGGCTGCCCAATATGCCTTTCCCCTGTGAGCTTCTGCCATATGCAGTATCTGACCAGACTGTGAATTTAACCTTTATCTCCGAAGGAAAGTTGCAGCAGAAGCCTGATGATTATTTTGCTACACCACCTCAGACCCCAACGGACAATTCCACTTCCGACCTGTAGGGCGACCACAGAGGAAAAGTTCCTTGGTGTTGCTTAATTCATTTTAATTAACTGCATTTATGTTTTCATAAACGTTATGAATCTGATCTGATCTCTCTCTATATATCTCATATAACTATATATAACTATATATATATATGAAGAGTTCAGATGCAAAAGCCTCTAAGTGCCATTTGAAATTTTCTTCTAAAATGATAATTTTTATCAAGCTTGTATATTTAAGTTCAGTGATTTCACTTAAATGGCAATGAAGATTACCTATTAATTGTCATTTAAGTGAAATTACTGAACTTAAATACACAAGCTTGATAAAAATGATCATTTTAGAAGAAAATTTCAAATGGCATTTAGAGGCTTTTGCATCTGAACTCTTCATATATATTAGGATATTTTGAGTTTTTTTCTATTTTCGTCCAATGACGAACTGACTCCACTTCCATCAGATGAACTGACCTTCATGCAGGCTAGATTGGGAAAGAGGACGGTTTCTCTTGACCGTGATCTAACACGTGATCACATTGAGGTTAAAACCTCTTTTACAAGTGAGACCTAGTCAAGACAGGGTCAGATAGCAGGATTAAACAAATTACAAGCAACAATAAGAAACCAATCACAACATCGTCATTAGATTAAACAAAAACACAACAAAACAAATCTCCATGACAACATATGATACAACATCATGACACAGCACAAAAGACAAACATTTAAGTACTGCATAATGCTCTACATAATACTATTCACAGAAACCAAGAGTATTAAATCATAGGTTTAATAAAAAGTTAAGTGGTAATAGAATTGGCACAGCAACTGCAATTAATAGTGAACACCTCCTTTATTCTATGTTTCAAGTCATTTAGAGAAATGAGGGATTGTAGTTTCAGTTTGGTGTGCAAATCATTCCAAGACCAAGGGCCATAATAGAACAGGCTTAGCTTTCCAGCCTCTGTTCTGATAGCAGACACTTTGAACTGAAGCCAATTATGTGACCTGAGATTATGACGGCTTTGAAATAATAAAAATGTCGAGCTTGCGCAAATGAAGGGATGACCATCCTACCAATTTGTACAATATACAATGATGTGTCCTAAAACTACAGTTAGTGACATATCTGAGAGCTGAATGATAGAGGGGGTCAAGTTTGGACAGAGTGGA